CATCCATCACGACCGGCAATCGGACCATGAATACTCGATTCTGTTATTGCATTCATATTGTAGACACATAAATCTTTTTTCAAAGCCCAATAGCCAGTTTAAGGTTCGTGTCAGGCACCGTGCACGTGACCTCCGTAGGGAGATTTGAAGGGGGGGGGGCATGTGGCTGTGTTGAACCACGGTTGGGACATATTTTCGAGCGATACACGTCTTGATCCACTTAGTAGGGAATTTTCATTCAGCACCCCCTCCCCTAGACGCTCCCAAAGCTACCAGTTACTGTAAAATTGCCACGCCGTCGAGGGGTATTTCAACGCGCTGCTCCCTTGACGGGCCATATCGCTCTTGCGCTGTCTATAAGACCAAAGCTCATTTAACAAGTAACGTAACCATATGAGAACGATTTTACGGCGCAGTTTGACGACGGGGGGGGGGCATTTTGCACTTTCGCTACTTCCCATCGACGTGTCGACCCTATCTAGACAGCCTCTTCTCGAGTTGACAGGTTTTACCATGATTGCTCCAGCTTCACAAGAGTTCACAGGTTTCGCCAGAGTGAGACTTGTAAACCGGAACTAGGAAGCAATGATAGTACAAAATGCCCCCCCCCCAACTGCCGCCCCGCTTTTACTGCAGTTACCTATTTAAAAAGCTTTCTAAAAGTGGGCACTCGGTGGATAAATAAATCGGATTAGAAATGGAAATAATGAAGAATGGGTTAATTGTTTCAGGCAATCATCTCATGTGCTCCATCGCGACAAAAGCGAGCATTCGACACGTTTGTGAGTGTTCATTGAATTGAGCCCTTCTGCCTATTAGTTTATTATGTCATCTAGTCTTTTTTACTATTTTTTTCAATGTTTATTACAGATATAGTCCGCGCTTGTCTTCAGGGGCGGAGTTAGCCCTGCCACTGTGCCTTCGCTCCCGGTTCCTGTTTAGGAGTAAGAGGGGTGCAGATGAGAAAGGTATATCCGACAGAACGATCAGTGTGGGCTGCGCCATTTAACAAAAATATTTCACCAGCCGGGTGCGCTATCCATCAAAGGCAGATTCCGTGAGTGCAGCTGAAAGAAGGGGGAGGGGGCTGTCTAATAACTAGAAGTGTGGATGATCTCACATAGGAGAGTAACAGTGAGAGAACCTCAGTGAGATCTCTGCCTCTTACAAGCTTGATCTCGATGCATATGGGCCAAGCCAATAAGATGGTCAAAGCCCCAACCGCGAGCAACGACCATGAATAACCCTCCGCGCCGAAGGGGGGGGGGGGGGGCCCCCCCCCCCCCCCCCCCCCCCCCCCCCCCCCCCCCCCCCCCCCCCCCCCCCCCCCCCCCCCCCCCCCCCCCCCCCCCCCCCCCCCCCCCCCCCCCCCCCCCCCCCCCCCCCCCCCCCCCCCCCCCCCCCCCCCCCCCCCCCCCCCCCCCCCCCCCCCCCCCCCCCCCCCCCCCCCCCCCCCCCCCCCCCCCCCCCCCCCCCCCCCCCCCCCCCCCCCCCCCCCCCCCCCCCCCCCCCCCCCGGGGGGGGTCCGCGCCGGGGGCGGGGGGGGGGCGGGGGGGGCCAAAAAAAAAAGAAAACAACACAATATAAGAAAAAAACGAGCAAGGCGCGGGCCGCCGTCGGCTGGCGGCGGGTTCTGTCGGGGGGGGGGGGGGAAAAAACAAATAACCAAATAAAAAAAAAAAAAAAATAAAAAAAACCGCCCCCCCCCCCCCCCCCCGCCCCCCCCCCCCCCCCCCCCCCCCCGCCAAAAAAACTTAATCTCGCCGCTAATAGTCCTACCGTCCGCATCGAAGGGTTTGCGTGAGGCCTATTATGAAGTGGCCCACTGGACCTTGTCTTGAGCTCCCAATTGCGCTGCTGTGGGAATATCGAGCCGAATAAAGATATGAACCTCTGGCGATCCGGTGGACCGCTTTACGCTGTTGCACTATGAATGGGAAAATATTGAGACTTCATCAACGCGGCCCATTCAGACAAATTCAATCTGGTCCTTTTGAAGGCCATTGAGGAGGTGATCGTCAAGGCGTTCCGATGAAGCTCTACCTGAGGTGGAGACTTTGACACAACCGCCGCCTCGCGCCTCGGGACCCACCCAGCATTCGGGCGCATTCGACGACTTGGGGGGGGGCATTTTTTCTTTTCCCATCGATGTGTCGACCCATCTAGACAGCCTTTTCTTGAGTTGACACGTTTTACCATGGTGGCTAGACGAGCTTGCTCCAGCTTCACAAGAGTTCACAAGTTTCACCAGAGTGAGACTTGTAAACCGGAAGTAGTGAAGCAGTGAAAGTGCAAAATGCCCCCCCCCCCGTCGCCGAACTGTGCCCGAGCATTGTTGTGATGGCTTTCGGAGTGAGAGCAGCGGTATCACACAGCGGCTATAATGATCAAAAAAATTTGAAAAATAGTCACTATCTCTTCGAACAGCCAAAAAGCTATTACAACTTTCAGCGCAGTTCGACTTGTTCGCAGTTGGGTTGGGGTGTGGGGGGGGGCATTTTGCTGGTTCCTGTCTGTCACTGCTAAAGTTTCTTGTGAAAACATGTAAGGCTGTGCAACAGCATAAACCTTGTTTACACTGGCAAGTGCTACAGGTCTCACCAAGGTTTGACGCGTAATTCAGTTAGTAACTAGTTAAAAAGCAAAAGGAAGGGTAAATGCCCCTCGCATGATGAAAAGTGCCCAGCTTCCTTGCAGACTTTTTCCTGATTCTGCTGTTTCATAATTTTTGTATTTCTGCTTTTCTATATGAAATCTTATTGTTATGTTATTGGTGTAGTGAATTTTTTTACCGTCGCCAATTGCAGGCCGGCAGCTTTTCTGGATTCGACAAACGAGCTTTTGACTCGCTCGTGAGTTTTATTCGTCTTTCATCTAATTTCCTCTACTTCAAAGGTGCAGTCCACGTTGGATAGGGTCAAGAATGCGTCGCTAGCGTCACGGTGGAAGGCTTCTCAAGGTGAAGAGCTATGGCTTATCCGTCCTCTCCGCCACTGAAGCTGGTGACGTCTCTTGCCCCCCCCCCCCTCCCACCAGCGGAAGAACCCACAGGACAAGGTTCTCGTAAGGCGTTTTAAATTTAAGGCCCGGAATCCGGGTTTCAGTGGTTTTGACAAAGGCATTTGATACTGCTGGTGGGTTTCTTTTGCGTAGCGAAGTTTTTCTTTTGAACTTTTATGAAGAGAAGTACAGGAATTTCTAATTAGCGCTTTCCCGAATGTTCAAAGTAAAAAGCACTTTTTCGCAGGAAGCAATTTTTTCCGGAAGAAAATTACTTCCAGCCATACTGGAATTCTTCATAATTGAGCTTGCTAGAAAAACAGGCGCTTCAAAATTGAATTCAAAAAAACCAGGACAAAAAAAGAATAATAATTGCAATTAAAATTGACGTTGAAAAAACTAGGGCAAAAAAGAATAATAATTGCGATTGGGCTTTCACGATTACGTCAAGTGCACATGCCACCAATGACCAAGTCCATTAGAGACCAGCTAGTGTGTGCGGAGAAATCTCAGGGCGAGAAGCACCCGAGATGTTCTGCCTTAGGCAGAATAAACCATCGTGTGTTCTCCCTACCGGGAAAACTGCTGTTGCTGAAGTGAAGGCCACTCAAGGAGGGTTTGCAACATCAGAATGGGCCCGAAACAGCCACGTAATGCCCACAATTGATTCACTTCTGGGAAGCTTCTGAAACCGTCGTCTCTTGAACAAAAAACCGAGACTGTTCTGTCCTTCAGACCATGAATCTACAATTTTCAACTTATTCTCCGTTCTCGGACCCTAGTATATACGGTCCGGGGGTAACTGAGCTCAGGGCACGTCGTACATTGGAGATCTTAGCGATGGGACCGTATTCGTTTGGTGGAGAGAACGGGGTCTCCTATTGTTTATGACGTTTCTTATGTGTTTTCCCGTTCCAGTTGGCGCTGTACATGCCCGCTCCCCCTTACGCACCCTCCCCCCACCCCCCCTGACGAGGGATCCGGGAAAGTTTAGGAAACTGTAGAAAAGTAATAGGGAATTGAGAACTTAGGTACATGGCTGGGCCAGGAAAAAATGGAAAGGAGTCCCTGTTAAATGGGAAAACTTCACTGGGGTTGTATTTTGCACCCCTCCCCAGCGGCAGGACGTGCGCCATTCACTGAAAGGCTTATTTGTGCCATCTAGGGTCGTTTTTGGTTGGTCCTTGGAGATAAGAAAGTTTTCTCTTCTCATCTTGAAATGTCCGCGAAGAGCATAACTGAGTTCACTAGAATAGTTGCCTTCCATCACTGAGTTGTGACAATTTTGCTTGTTTTCGCGCAGTGGCATGTGGGGCATTCCCCTGGTTCCCTCCGATCACTACCAATGCCTCTCGTGGATACTGTGAACTCCTGTGGAGCTATGCAAAAGCTTGATGTTCGTTTACGCAGGTGAACACTCCTAGACCGCACAGCGCCTTTTTCAGAGTATTAAGGCTTCTGCAATGCCTGGCTTCATACAGTGGCTTACTTACCTAGAATAAGCTGCCTTTTTCATACCCGATTAGCCCCCGCAAGTTTTCGTTGTACTTCTATGACTACCGTAATACTGGCAATGTGATTCAAGAGTATTTCAAACTGCAATGCTCTTCGTAGGTTTCGTCACAGCCGCGTTGTTGTCGAGCTTCACACTTCTTTTTTCGCTTCACATCCTTTCATAATTAATAAGCTGAGAAAACTCAATGTGAGAAACGAAGAAAGCCCAACTTAAGAATACGAACTTGGGGACTAATGGGGACTAATAACTATATAGATATGGTGGTGAGGCATTCCATATCCTGGAAATGGGGAGGGCGTGGCAACATAATTCATTTGAACATGGCGCAGGATGGGTTTTCCGCCAGTTATTTCCATTTAAGACAACTGTCATTCTCTCTGCGCTATACGAAGACATTATCACGCTTGTCCTGAAAGCGAAACAGCTTGTAAGCAGCGCTGCCGCCGCCACGTTATTGCATTGTCGAATGCCCCTACAGTTCTAAATGAAAACCAAATGCGTGGCGCACCCCAGGATTGCCAAGCGCCGCCAGCCAGTCGTTCTTATCCTTCGTTCCTTACCATCCATCAAATTATGTGCTTACGTTTTAGCAAGATAACCCTGAAGAACGTTTTTTACAGGCGGGACAAGGATTCGAAGCGTTCAACAAACGTGCGTTTGACTCATTGGTAAGTACCCGAAAGTTTTGTTACCCTGTTTTTTTCAATAGAGACAAACTTCCAGTTCTTTCCAGTTGGTTGTATTTAAAAGTGATTAAATGCGGTGCTGGTAACGTCTGAGTATTTTCTCCCAAATCTATAAGGACCTAATCAATCATTCTTAAGCCAAACTCCAATCACAAAATCCTACCTAAACCCTCCTAATACAGGGTGCAGACCACCCTGAAAAACGACATGTTGCAACTCCAACAAATCACAGTTTTGAGTAAGCTAAAAAGATTTACAATTTTCAGCCGAAACTCTTGAATATCGAGGATATTTAGAAGTTGTGTGAGGTTATCGCAAATACTGTTGAGGACCTGTCAACACGCAGCTCTCGGAACGGGTTTCTGCCACACCTCTAGCTCGTGGCATATTTTCGATACCAGTCGGATCGCCCGGCTAACGCCGAGCTCTCCTCCTTCCCTTCAGCTGGCTTGGTGGGCGCACTTCATGATGGCAACGAAATTTTCTTCATCCACTTAGCTGCTCATACTGCGCTGTCATGATCGAATCGTAATAGATGGATCAACCCACGGGCGAGCCCACATCCAGCTGCCACGCGAGCAGCTTGTGCATGGCCCGGAATGTACGAAATGACTGTCTTAGATAGGGTGGGAGTATTATTACGTCAAAACAACTTAGATTGTTACTCTATTATGGATTAGCTTGCAGTTTTGCTAGCGGTTGTATCCTCCTCTCCTGCTATTATCCTACTCAAGCGTGCACTACGCCCCCCCCCCCCACCGTACCCTCGCCCCTCTACTTCCTTCACT